GTGAATCCTGAGGATTAAACTAAGGTCATCAGGCTTGGAGGCAAGCACCTTCCCAAACTGAACCATTTCCCTGGCCCCCAAATTCATCCATTTCATCAGGAACTCACTCCTAAAATAGCTGCATTAATCGACTCGTGGGGGAATCTGCCATTAAGATTTAATCTGGTTTGAAGGTCCTACCTCTTCACATATGAGTTTTGGGCTGGGTATTGTAGCTCACATCTATAATCCCAGCACTCAGGAGACCAGCCTGGGCTACAGAATGAGTTCCAAGCCAGCCTGGAATCCCATCTAAAAAAATAAAGCAAGGAAAACATGAGTTTTAATTTTTTTTTTTTTGGTCTTTTTGAGATAGGGTCTCCCTGTAGCCCCAGCTGGCCTGGAACTCACCATGTAGACCAGGCTGGCCTCAAACTCACAGAGATCCTCCTGCCTCTGCCGCCCAAGTGCTGGAACTAGGAAATTAAAGGAGTAATAATTGGAAAAGAAGATATCAAATTATCCCTTTTTGCAGATGATATGATATCTAAGAGATGACAAAAATTCCACCCAAAACTCTTAGAAATTAACACATTCAGTAAAGTGGCAAGTTACAAAATTAATCTACAAAAGTCTGTAGCCTTTCTATATACCAATAACAAGCAATCAGAGAAAGAGTACATGGAAACACTCCCCTTCACAATAGCTGCAAAAAAAAAAAAAATCTGGGAATAAACCTGACCAAAGACATTAAAGACCTCCACAATCAAACTTTTAAATCCTTAATGAGATTGAGGAAGACATCAGAAGATGGAAGGAGCTCCCATGCTCATGGATTGGAAAAATTAATATTGTGAAAATGACCCTCCTACCAAAAGCCATTTATAGATTCAATGCAATGCCAATCAAAATCCCCATGACATTTTTCACAGAATTGGAGAAAACCATCCTAAGATTCATATGGAAGCACAAAAGACCTCAGATAGCCAAAGCAACTCTGAGCACTAAGAGTAATGCTGGCGGATTACTATACCAGATAAACTGTATTACAGATCTATAGTCACAAAAACAACATGGTACTGGCATGTTGATCAATGGAACAAAATTAAAGACCCACATGTGAGTACATTCAATTTCAGCCATCTGATATTTAACAAAAGAGTCAAGAACATTCACTGGAGGAAAGACAGCATGTTCAGCAAATGGTGCTGGCAAAACTGGATCTCCACCTGTAGAAGAATGAAACTAAACCCCTATCTTTCACCTTGTACAAAAGTCAACTCCAAATGGATCAAAGACCTCAATGTGAAGCCTGAAGCTCTAATAGTGTTAGAAGAAAACACTGGCAATAACCTACAAGATATAGGTGTAGGAAACTATTTTCTAAACCAGACATCAATTGCCAAGGAAACAAGGTCAAGAATCAACAAATGGGAACTCATTAAACTGAAAAACTTCTGTACATCAAAAGAAGCAACCAAGAAAGTGAAGAGAAAACCAACAGAATGGGAGAAAAACTTCACCAGTGACACATCTGACAGAGGTTTAACATCCAGAATATATAAAAAACTCAAAAAACAAAGTATCAAGAAAGGAAGTAACCCAATTAAAAGATGGGCTAAGGAGCTGAACAGAGAGTTCTTAAAGGAAGAAATAAAGATAGCTAAGAAGCATTTTAAAAGGTATTCAACATTACTAGTAATTAGGGAAATGCAAATTAAAACCACTTTAAGATTTCATGTTAGCCCAGTCAGACTGGCTAAGATGCCTATTCAACCCCTGTGGAAAGTAGTGTGGAGAACTCCTAAAAAAACTACAAATGAACCTACCCTATGACCTAGTTATACCACTCCTTGTCATATACCCAAAGAACTCATCCTATTGCAGAGACACTTGTACATCCATGTTTGTTGCTGCTCTTTTCACAATAGCTAAGAGATGGAAGCAACCTAGGTGTCCCTCAATTGATGAGTGGATAATGAAAATGTGGTTCATTTATACGATGGAATTTTACTCAGCAGTAAAGAAAGATGAAATCATGAAATTTGCAGGTAAATGGATTGAACTAGAAACTGTTATACTAAGTGAAGTAACACAGACTCAAAACAAAAAAAAAATGGCGTATGTTCTCCCTCATATGTGGATCGTAGCACCAAATCCTTATAAGTGAATATGTATCCAGACATAACTACAGGAACCAGGATAATGAAGAGGAACCAGGGAAGTAAAGGAAAAGAAAGAATCTGAAAGAGAACAGTAGAAAACAGGCATTAACAAGGGAGATATGGACAATAATGGGGTTATTTTAAGGGGAGGGGGAGGGAAGGGTATACAAGGAACCTAGGGGATAAAGGGAAAGAAGGAGCTCAAGAGAGGTGGGACCATAGAAGAAGGGTATTCTTAAGGGAGAAATGGAAAAAACAGGGGCACCTCAAACGGGGATACCATGGTGGAAGGGTTAGACAATGTGGGAGATAAACAATGCCTAGCTAGTTTTAGAAAACCAGAGGGAACCATATTAGGCCAACAACCTACTGAAAATTATACATACAACCAGATCAAAGAATGTAATATATGCCAGACAAGGTTTATCTGAGAGTGTTTGATCTTTTCCCAAGCTCTATCTACATGGCATATGGTAATTAAAAGTACCAGACTGGTGGAACTAACCTTCTTGGATGTTTAACAGCCATACTTTGAGGCCTATACTAATTTGGTCAGGGGGACATAAAGGACAGGTTTTCTTCCTTGCCCTCCTAGGTCGACTAAGTTCCAGGGGACTATGAGCATCTCTCAAAATGTCCTGTATCTGGTGAGTCACCTGTCATCTCGAGCAAGGAGGCCATGGATACCCTACCAGATGGACCTGAACCAGTGTCCAGTCTACAAAGAGGAGGGTCAACACAGAGGAAACACTTCTTCCATGCTTCCAAGAGAAGCCAACCATGGTCAGGCAGGACCTTCGACTTATCTTCACATATACGGAACTGGTAAAAGAAAGGAGCCAGTGGCTCATCCCAAGCCCATGTTACCCTTAAGAGTAAAAATAAATTGTTTTATCTGGGCCAACTTAAGGGTCTTAATCACCCAAAAGGAAAGTATAACCAAAGATTAATGGGGTCAATATAATTTTTAAGAGTCCATATGTATGGCTAAAGGCTGCATAACATGAAACAATGCCAGAGACGTGATACCCTCCTTTGAGTTATTGGCCAAGGTGGTGCAAGAGACTCTCCCAGAGTCAGATCTGGGGCTGAAAGCTCTAATTCTTCACTAAGTCTTGTTATTTCTGGAGAATGGCTCCGATTCTATATTTTTCTAGTTCCTTCTCACACAACAGCTACATTGGCATATTTAAAAAAAAATCAATCTCTCAGAATACTCTGAGCACTTAAAGAATCTGACAGGAACAGAGGCAAAAATCAAATTCCTCACTATGTAGCCTTGGCTGGCCTTGAACTTGCTATGTAGACCAGGCTGGCCTTGAACTCACCAACATCTACTTGCCTCAGTTTCATAAGTGCTGGATTTAGAGGCATGCTTCACCACACCCAGCTTTCTCGTGGGTGTGAATTGGTCCTATGTAGTGGTTTTGATTTGCATTTCTCCCTTGATAAGTGATGCTGATCATCTTTTTCCATGTGTTTATTTATGGACATATTTGTTTTTGTTTTGTTATCTGTTTGAGACAGGGTCTCCCTGTAGCCCCAGCTGACCAGGAACTCACTATGTAGCCCTGGCTGGCCTTGATTGCACAGAGATCTGCCTGTCTCTGCCTCCTGAAGGCTGGAATCAAAGGTGTGTTCCACCACCACCATTAAAATGTATTTTAATTAACCTCAGCTCTGCTTCATACTGGCTTATCCTGAAATTCTCTAAGGGGAAAGAGAACTCCTCAGTTTACTGGAGGCAACAGAGTTGAGCAGCACTTCCATCCCAATTGCCACTGACAAGCCAATGGTGGGCAGAACAACAAAACCTAGACGTATGCAGTGCTAATTCAGTTCAGTAGTCCGTTATTTTGCCCACTTCCAATTATTTAAAAACCATAGCTTTTCATAATTGTGTATGTGCACGTTTATGTCAATCCCTGTCTTCCCACCCACTTTACTTATATCAAATCCAGCACAGTATGATCATACTTATCATCAAATTCTCAGAATATTACAAACCTATGTTTGTACCTTTACAACTAGACTCAGTTTTACATTTCTTATTTTATGTGTGAATGTGCACCCGTGTTATGTAATGCCCGTGTAGGCCATAGGAGGGCGCCAGATCCCCTGGAGCTATAAGTTATGGAAGGCTGTCAGGTGCCACATGGGTTCCGTGAACTAAATCGGGTCCCTCTACAAGAGCTCTGGGCCTCTAGACTCTGTTCTCTGTCTCTCTCTTCTCTCTGTTCCCCCCTCCTTCTCCCTCCTTCCCCCCACCCCTGTCAGTAGCCGTGGCTGGCTGAAACTTGCTATGTAGACCAAGCTGGCCTCGCTCTCACTGGGATCTGCCTGCTGGGATTAATAGGTGTGCACCACAACGCCCGACAAGTTCTTAATTTTGTAAAAGCAAGCGAACCAACCAACGAGCCAAATACACACACATAACATGGTTAGAATATCCTAGAAAATACAATTCCCCAATTGGTTATTAGTCTTCTACGAATTTCAACAGGTAAAAGATAGTGTAATGAGGTTAGAAAACCACAAACAGGGCAAGTCTGTGGTATTAAAATATTGCTAAGCAATTCTTTCACAACCATCATCTGTCTAAAGATAACCGCAAGCAGGGTTTTGCATGTGCATCCCAGGTCTCTCAGCCTCGGCTAGCCACCGAATCACGCTTATGGCAACTGCTGCATTGCTTAACACAGTGGCTATGAAAGGAAATACAGAGTCCTGGGTTCCTAGATGAGCGTCTACAACCGCCTTGCCACCAGGGGGCACCCGAGTGTCCGCCGAGGAGCACCGCCCTGTGCGCACGCGCAGGCCCCGCCCTCCAGGCACCGCCCCCTCAGGCACCGCCTCGCCGCCTTGGCGTGAGGGTGGAGGCCTGCAAGTCCTGTCCCGCCTTCCGTCCTCCGGTGAGGCTCGTGGTGAGCGCTCGCGGCTGTGGAGACCGCTTTTGAGGTGGCGTTATGGAGGGCGAGAGCACGTTGGGGGTACTGTCTGGTTTCGTGCTCGGAGCGCTCACCTTCCAGCACCTCAACACAGACTCAGACACGGTGAGCCGAGCCCGCTCCAGCAGTAGCCCGCCCTCCGGCCGCCTGCTCCGCGCGCCGACTCCGCACGCTCCGACTCGCTCGCATCCGGGCCCTTTTCCTGCCGCCGATCCTGGGCGCGAACGCTGAGTTCCCCCGCAGCTGAGAGCTGTTTCTGTTAGTGCTCACTACGCGGTCGGTTGCCAGGGCAGCCGTGCGTTGCCCATGCGGGCCCGTGCGCGCGTTCGAGCACGTGGTGGGAACGGGGCCGGGAGGACTCTGCTTTCCTGGGGAGCGCTCTGGCCGGGCACAGTGAACTGGAAGACGGCCGAACCTGACTTGAAACTGGAGCGCCGAGCTCGCAACTTTTCTTTCTCTTACAAAGAAAGTTTGTTCTCAGATGTTTAAAAGCTGTTTTATATTTCTTCAAAACCTCTGGGTGGAACTTAAAAGGTTTTAAAACGGGAAATTAAACTCATTAAAACTTTGGGGTCGGGAAGTAACATCTGGTAATAAGTGCTGAGTAACAAAGAATCTAGAAACGTCGAAACAAATTTCCGACTCTACTAATGTAGGGAGTAGTGTACTGACTATGCCTGGTTATGCGAATTGTGTCCATTTTAAGATAAAAGGCGTGTGATGCCCAAAGTTGATTTTCAGCACAATCCTAACAAAGGTTGTAATGAATGTAAATTAGTATGTTTTACGTATATTACATCAAATTACCTTACAGATGAACGCCTAGCAAAGAACAGACGACATTTTAAAATATATGTGTGTTAGTGCTCGCTTGGGCAGCACAAATAAAGCGGACCAATAGAGATAAGCATGGTCCCTACACAGGGATGGGTACGCCAATTTGTTAAGCATGCTATACTTTTTTTTAAAAAAACGTATGTACTCTGGAAGATGTTTACTACAAACGTAGACGGCGTCCTCAGGTCCATCTGTGGCTTATAGGATTGGCCCTTGTAATTCACAATTATCATGGCGTTAGACTAAATTCTCAGACATTCCAACTAAAGTTTTTAAAGAGTGGTTTTCTGGATAATTATACTTGAATTGTCTCTGCTGCTTTCTCTTTTTTTGTCCTTGGGAGTATCAAAATCAACACTGATGTGCAGCTACCAATTTTAACGCCCTCCTTTCCACTAAAGACACTGTAAATATGCTTTTTACACTCTTTTTCCTTTGATGAAATGGGGGTGGGGCATTATTAACTAATTTTAAAGAATATAAAATTTCATTGTCGAGCACACTGGATCTTTAAATGTGTCTAATAGAATAATTGAATTCCCTGAAATGAAAAAGAAAATTGCTACCAGAGTGTGACACACCTGTATGCCTGTATTTTTAAAGAATCAACACAAACAGTACCCCTTTCGGAAGAGCAAACACTAAATGCTAAAATTCCAAATCTTTAATCTTTCATTATTTTTTTTCAAACACTTAAATTTGAAAACATGAGTCATTGCATCATTCCATAGCACACAAACCTCCACCAACTCTTAGAAACACTTGTAAAACCAACTCTGATTATTTACATGGATATTCTGGTTTCACCCCATCCTCCTTACATATGCACATAGAGCCTTGTGCTTCAAGCCAAGCTGCTCTACCAGTCTTAAACAGGCTTTAAGCCTTTTAGGGTTCCAGGTGTCCTAAGTGCTTCTAGCTCTACCTTCCCAAATTATTGTCTAGCCTTTTTTTTTTTTTTTTTTTTTTTTTTTTTTTTTTTTTTTTTTAAAAAAAAAAAAAAAAAAAAAAGAGGACGATAAATCTTTCACGTGCAGTGCTGACATGAACTTGTCTAGCCTTTTAAAGCTAGTTTCATTCTGCCTCCACAGGGCCTGCTCCAGTTACTTGATGTGTACCCTACCCTTGAGCACGCTCTTGTATACATTGTAAAAATACTTAAAAGTATGATTAAGAGAACAGTAATCCTATCAGTATATTCTGTATACAGCTTACTGTTTTATCATTTTATTCTCATAGGAAGGTTTTCTCCTTGGTGAAATGAAAGGTGAAGCCAAGAATAGCATTACTGATTCACAAATGGATAATGTTAAAGTTGTCTATACAATTGGTGAGTCACTTCTGTTTTTGAAAGTGTATGCTGAAAGGAATCATCATAAATGTTTTTTATTTTTACATTTTAATTTTGTGGGGGCAGGGGTGTTATGGGGGTATGCAGGTACCACAGTGACAGTATGGAAGTCAGAGGGTAACTTGATAGAGTTGGTTCTCTCCTTAGGCCATGTGGGTCCCAGCATGGAAATAAGGTAGTCAAGCTTGTCAGCAAGTACCTTTACCTGCTAAACCATCTCACCAGCCCCAGTATAAATGTTCTGAAATAGTTAAAATATATACCTTAATTTTTTTAAAAAGCAGAATTTAGAATATATGGCATTTGTTTTTCAATTAAAATTATGACTGTTGACTAGGTTGCAGTCAGGATTCCTTTGTAGGAGATCGAGGAAGAAATAGCTGTTGGTAGCTTTTAAGAAAAAAAAGGTGGTGCACACCTTTAGTCCCAGCACTCAGGAGGCATAGGCAGGTGGAGCTCTGTGAGTTCAAGGCCATCAGCCTGGTTTATATAGTGAGCTCTAGGCCAGCTGGGGCTACAGGGAGATGCTGTCTCAAAAACCATGGTGAATAGGTCAGGTATGATGGCACATGCCTTTAGTCCCAGAACCAGGAGGGAGAGGCAGGTGGAGCTCTGTGAGTTCAAGGGCAGCTGCTTATTTTTCTCCAAACAAACCATAGTGAATAGGTAAAAAGTCCACGGTGGATGAATTGCTACATTGCCTTGGTTCATGAGATTTTCATTTTACCTTTTCCATGTCTCTATACTAGTATACATTTTACATTTATTAATTATAGATCATTTCTATTTAGTGTTTTTATAGCTAGGAATTTCTCCCATCCATGTTCTAACCAGGCCCGACCCTGCCTAGCTTCCGAGATTGGGTGCATTCAGGGTGGTATGGCCATAGACAGGTATTTCTCTAAAGACATTTACTAGAGGAACAGTGTCTAAATAGAAGATTTGCTTTTCAAGGGCTAAGGTTGTAGCTGTGTTGTAGAGTGCTGCTTCTCTACAATGTAAGAGGCCATGAATTTGATCTCCAGTACTTGAAAACAACAAAACAAAAGAGTTCTTCCGTAGAATGATTACCTAGCAGGCAGAAGGACTTGGATCTCCAGAACAGAAAAAAAAAAAAAATTTAAAGATTTTTTTTTCTTACTTAGCTTATAATATTGCTATTGACAGCAGAATAAAACACCTTTTGAAAGATGTTGGTTTTTTGTTTTTATCACCGATAAAACATTTATGAAACAACTACTTAGAATGACAAAGATTTTCAACAGACACTTATCATTTGGGTAAATTAAGAGCATAATTTTTTAACACTCAATGAAAATATAGCAACTTTGGTATTATCTTTTTTATTGCAGTTGCTAAACCACTATTTAAGACTGAGAATGTAGCCCAGTTGATAGATTGCTTGTCTAGCATACACAAAGCTCCAGGTTTGATTGTCAGCACTTCAAAAAATAACTGGGTGTAGTGGTACATTGCTTTAATCCCTGCAATTAGGAGGTAGGGTCAAGAGGATCAGAAGTTCAAGGTTATCCTCTGCCTAGAACATACAGCATTGTAATTCTGACTACAACTCTAGCTTTGACTTTTAGCTTACCTCTATTTGAGGGAGCCACTTAATTTCTCTTTGCCTATTCATCTTTGAAAGGGTAAGAATGATGAAGTCTGTATGTTAGGTAAATAATTATTAATATACTTATAACTAAAGATACTTTTTTTCTAGATATTCAGAAATATATTCCATGTTACCGGCTTTTTAGGTAAGTAATGGTATTAGTAAAAACAAGTAAATTATCCATCATGAGTTATTCTCCAAAAGTTAATAATTTTTCAGAGTACCATGGTTACCAATTATACATCGAAGGGTTATTTTTAAATACCCACTTGTGCATGTCAATTGTATCTATAGTCCTTTATTAGGCTACTTACAGCTGATCTCCACTGTCTCTGCAAGAGCCAGTTTACCATGAAAATTGCTTTTCCTCTCACACCCATTCGTCTCATTGCATATTATAAACTCAGTAAGTGACAGGTTCTCATACAGAAATAGCAGTTCTTTCCTACCTTCCTTATTGCAGTTTATTTTATTTTTTTTTAGTATTTTGTTTTATTTATTTTGGTCTTTTTGAGACAGGGTCTTCCAGTAGCTCCAGCTGGCCTGGAACTCACAGAGTATACCAGGCTGGCCTTGAACTCAAAGATCCACCTGCCTCTGCCTCCTGAGTGCTGGGATTAAAGGCATGCACCTCCACACCTGGGTCTATATTTATTATTTTTATTTTTAAATGTATCAGTGTATTGCCTGCAGGCATGTAAGTATACCCATGTCATGCAGTGCTCTCAGAAGTCAGAAAAGGGTGCTGGATATGCAGGAACTGGAGTTATGGACAGTTGTAAGCCACTATAACATGCTGGAAATCGAACCTGGGTCCTCTGCAAGAGCAGCCTATGCTCTTAACTGCTGAGCCATCTCTCTAGTCCCTTCATTGCAGTTTATTGTTTCCCTCTATTACCCTGTTGCTTTACTCTATTGCAAGTTTAGCCTTCTAGTCTGACAGAGAGCAATAGAACTGTTAGCCTTAATGTACTGTACTTTACTAATGTCTTACTGAGACTACATACATAGAAACACAAATACCTTTGCATCAAGCAAATAAATGTAAGCATAATATCATTTTTTTTTTTTTTTTTTTTTTTTTTTTTTTTTTTTTTTCCTTTTTTTGAGTCTGATTCGATAGCTTTGGTAAGCTCTCTTACTCCTTGTTTTTACACATTGGCTCTACTGTACCATCTTTTCCTTCCCTCCTAGGCCTCCATGCCCAGCCCCAGCATAATATAATTTTAATGACATGGTTTTATGATTTAAGTCAACCACACAAAAGTCATTATACATTATTAAAGTCACACTGTCTTTGTACACAAAGGCTGTGTGAGTTATAAGGGTGTACATGGTTAAAGAAAAAAGGATCTATGGTAGGGGAGATTATAGGAAAAAAGTGCTTAGTATCGTCTTAAACTCATATACCAGGAAAAACTAGATTTCCTGTAGTCCTTTAATGAACAGTGGGCATACAAAAATATTTGTTGATTGAGATGTTTTTAGTGGGGTCTCAAAAAGGACTTGCTTGAAGGGCCTTGTAGACCATCAAAGGATTAAAATATTTAAAAAAGTGATTCACTATCTTTGGACAACTACATTAGACCAGTAATAGGGCTGGAGTGGTTAAGAGCACTGGCTGCTCTTCTAGAGGACCTGCATTTGATTTCTATCACCCACATGGCTGCTAACAACCATCTGTAACTCCGGTTCTAGGGGACTTGATATCCTCTTCTGACCTCCAAGGGCTTTGTACCTACATACATGCAGGCAAAACACTCATACACATAAAATAAAATGAGACCAGTTTAATAGAGTCTAAGCTGCAGAAACTGATCTAGTAATGTCTGAGCCCTTTAGCTCTTAGGTTTAAGAAAAGGACATGAGGAAAACCATCTTGAAATAGCTTTCATTTAGAAAGTTACTACTTTGTTTTCATCTAAAACCAAAGTAATAAGCCTAAAAGTTAATGATTTAGTGGAATCCATAGAACTAGTTAATGGTAGGGTAAAACTAAGAAACAGGGTTTCTTTTTAATGTGCGTTTGTGGGGTGTTTTGTGATGCTGGGGACGGGACTCATCGGAGCTTCATGTATCCTGGACAAGTTTCTGCTAAGCTGTAGCCCCAGCCATTAGGGGCTGAAGAGATGGCTCAACAGTTAAGAACACTGGTTGTTCTTGCAGAAGACGTATGTTCACATCCCAGCACCCACATGGCAGCTAACAACTATAACTCCAGTCCCAGGGGATGCGATAGCCTCTTTGGACCTCCACAGGCATTGCACAACACAGGTGCACTTACCTACATGCAGGCAATACATGAATACACATAAAATTAAAAATTTAAAAATTTAAAAAAATATACTAAAAAAAAAAAGCCATTAGGATTTCTAACAACATACTGGTGGTAGTGTTTCCCTGTTGTAATATAGGTGAATATATTTAAAAGGAAGTCTTCTGATGACATGTCTTGAAGTCCAAGCTAGATTAGCTTTAATATCCACTATTATGCTTTAATTGAAGGGATGTCAAAATAGAGCCCTATGAGCTGTTTTTATATGGCCCTTGGTCTAAGAATGCTTGCAATATTTTTTTCAGAATTGGGGGGGGGAGAAGAATATGCAATAGAAAGCAGACATGCGGGGCAAAGCTTGAAATATTTTAACTGACATTTTAGAAATAAACTTCCAACCCTGCACCAGCTACAGTATTTCTCAGACTTTTTCACTGAAATACATTGTTTTGCTATTCTCAAAAGTCTAAGAAATGTCTTGAAAATGGCCTGTTGAAGCCTAAAACAACTTAAAAACTAGGCACTTTAGCATGAATCTTGTATGGTATATCTTTTGGGGGAGGAGGTGGAGAACAACACAGAGTCTCAGTATGTATCCCAGACTGGCCTGAAACTATGTAGCATAGCCTGGCCTCAAACTTCAGATTTTTCTGCCTCAGTCTCTTTAAGTGATGGGATTATATGCATGTGCTATCACACCTGGCTTATTGTTTTTATATAAAACTCCCACCCCCTGGTTCTCTTTCCTGAAACTTGACATAAAATCAAGTGTTCTCACAGATGTATGCTCTCAGCCTATGCTCGTATACCCTGATGTACTACCTTATGCACCAGGTTGAGACTCTTCAGAATTGGATCATGCTAGAGATTACAGCAGTAAACTTTATTTGTTGTTTTCTATTGTTAGTTCTGGGGATTGAAACCAGGGCCCTTAAAGTGCCAGGCAAATGCTGTACCACTGAGTATATCCCCAGTCCAGCAATAAACTCTTATATATAGTTTTTATATTGGAATTATAAATAGGTAAGTAGAAGGATATGTTTGGCCAGCTTAGTATCTCCCTTTGGTTGGTACCTTTTTCATGTTCCTAATTTACTGTACAAGTTACTACATTAGTTTGACATTAGCTTCTCTAGTTGTGAGCACTTAACAGATGAGGTCAGACATTTTAGAATTCATTTCTAAATGAATTTTGAAATAGCTGGAATTTTGATAGCTGGAATTTTTGGCTTTTGGTTTTTAACCTTAACTTGAAGTACAAGACTATCAAAGCAGTGCCTCCATATGTGCCAGTATATACTTCATTCTACCTGTGAAAGTCTAAGGGTTGAAATATTTTTTCAATACTAATGAACTGGAATTTGGCATCCATTTCCACAGCTGTCTTGATTCCCATCCACAGACATCCTTCAATGAACCTAGTTTCAGCCCCTTTAAAATGTTTTTTGTTTCTTTAAAATTTTTTTCTTTTTTTTTCCTTTTTTTTTTTGCAGTGGGGTCTTCCCGTAGCCCAGCCGACCTGAACTTGCTATGTAGACCAGGCTAGCCTTCAACTTACAAAGATCTGCCTGCCTCTGTCTTCTGAGTGCTGGAATTAAAGGCATGTGCCACCATGCCCAGCTTTTTTGGTCTTTTTGAGACAGGATCTCTCTGTAGCCCCAGATGGCCTGGAACTCACTATGGAGAACAGGCTGACCTTGACCTCAAAGAGATCCACCTGCCTCTGCCTCCAGAGTGCTGGGATTAAAGGCGTGTACCACCACACCCAGCTTAAAATTTTTATTTATTTATTTATTTATTTATTTATTTTGGTCTTTTTGAGACAGGGGAGCCATGAAGCCTCTCAGACAAGTCACGTCTCAGGCAGGTCATGTGCTGGTCAAGAATTCCAACCTGCCGATAAGTAAGCTTCATGGCCAACTCTATGTATGTAAGTGCACCCATGTTGTACAGTACCTATGGAGGTCAGAAGACTGCATCGGATTGGAGTTAAGGATGGTTGCTAGCTGCCATGTGGATGTTGGAATCAATCGTGGGTCCTCTGCAAAGAAGCAAGTGCTCTTAACTTTTAAGCAGTCTCATCAGCCCCTTAATTCTTATTTTATGTGTATTTATATATAGGTGTGTTGGCCTGCATGTATGTATATGTACCATGTATGTTGTGTGCCTAGTGCTCACAGAGGCCACAAGAGGGCACCAGATCCCCTGGAACTGGAGTTACAGGTGTGAGCTACTACCATGTAGGTGCTGGGAAATGAACCTGGCCCCTCTACAAAGAAGCAAGTGCTCTTAACTGCTGAATCATCTCATCCCATTAAAATATTTTTAATGGGAATTCATTTTTTCCTTGTAGTTTTAAGGATTGAACCCAGGGTTTTACTCATGCTAGGAAGCACTCTACCATTAAGCTCCAGTTCCAGCCATTTGTTTGTTTATATATTTGAGACATGGTCTCATTAAGTTTTTTAAGCTGGCCTTGAACTCACTCTCTCTAGCTAAGACAGGCCTTGACCTTGAGATCCTCCTGCCTCAGACTGCTGAGTGGTTGGCTCTATAGGCCTGCAGTACCATGCTTAGCTTTTAATGGGAAAATTGGTTTTTGTTTTATTTTGAGACAGGGTCTCATCATGCAGTCCTCGCTGGCTTGGAACTCACAGAGATCGATCTGCCTCCTGAGTGTTGGGATTAAAGGCATGCGCCACTACACATGGCTTAATGGGAACATTCTGAAGTAAAAACTTCACCTATTTGAATATAGTTGAAAAGTTGTATGTAAATAAATATTTTCATCATACACTTCAGGATTACTCATAAAAGCTTATAAATTTATATAGGATTTTGCCTGGCGTGGTAGTGCATGCCTTTAATGCCAGCATTCAGGAGGCAGAGGCAGGCAGATCTCTGTGAGTTTGAGGCCAGACTGGTGTACAGAGTGAGTTTCAGGCCAGCTGGGGCTACAGGGAGACCCTGACTCAAAAAGACCAAAAAAACAAGAAAAAATTTATATAGGATTTTGTTCAGCATTTCACCATGATAGAACAGAAGACTGTTACTCTTAATGCTAAACAAAGGAAATCAGATAAGGACATAACTCCATTGTTAAAGTACCTGCCACACAAGCATGCAGACCTGACTTTGGCTCCCCCAAACCACTATAAAACCCACGTTTCTGTAACTGTAGTGTTTGGGGCTGGGAGGGATGGAGGGAGGGATGATAGGCAGATCTCTGAAACTCATTTGCCAGCCAGCTAGCCAAATCGGTGAGTTCCAGGTTAATAAGGTGGAGAGTGATCAAAGAAAACAGTATCAACCTCTGGTTTCCCTGTGCGCACACACCTTCATACAAACATGCATACCCCCCCCCCCACAGAACTGTGTTACTTGCAATCTCAAGAAAGCTAGAAGTAAATGCTTTAGAATCTTTTAAAATTCTAATTCTGTCTTAAACATTCCAACTACAACGACCACTGGATTAAACCAATACCATCCTCTCCTCTACCCCTCCAAATCCCAACTCCCCCAGATACCACTGCTTCCTAAACATACAGCTTTTGGAATTAACAATGAATAAATTGTCCTTTGTTACTATGTTTCAGTACCCATTATGTGTTTTTAGATTATTAACTTTTAAATTTTTCTTTACTTCTTTTTTTAATGTGCACGAGTGCATTGCCTGCGTGCATGTAAGTGCACCCCTGTTGTGCAGTGCCTCAGAGGTCAGAAGAGGCTGTTGGATCCCCAGGAACTGGAATTACGAACAGTTGTTAGCTGCCATGTGGGTGCTGAGAATCGAACCCTGGTCCTCTACAAGAGCAGTCAGTGCTCTTAGCCACTGAGCCATCTCTCCAGCACTTATTTACTCATTTTTGTGAAGTGTTTTGCATGCATGTAAGTGTACCTGTGTGTGATGCCTGCAGAGACCAGAAGAGGGTATTGGATCCTCTGGAACTAAAGTTACGGATGATTGTTAGCAGCCATGTGGGTGCTGGGAATTGAACCTGGGTCCTCTGGAAGACCAGTAAGTGCTCTTAATGACTGAGCCATCTCTCTGCTCAAGGTTAACAATTATTAGTAAGTAAACTGAATTGTGAACTGGCTGTGTGAATTTAATTTTCTAATACTTGTATTTAATGGATAGTTTATTGTTCTTATTTTAGGTTAAAAACTAGTGGGCAAAACTTTCATCTGAAGTTTTTCCACTCTTTTCATTATTTTTTATTGTTGTGAACCTTGTGTTTGTACCATAAAAGTGCCATTTTGTCAACTTTATTATTTTAGAAGTTCAATATAGGAAAGTAGGTATGGATTTTGGTTGGGTAGTATGTGTTAAGAGTAAGATTTTAAATGCTAATAAAATTATTCAAATTTCTAGCTTACTTGAAATGTCTTTAATTTTTATTTTTATAGCTTTTATAATTCTTCAGGTGAAGTAAATGAACAAGCACTGAAGAAAATACTTTCAAATGTCAAAAAGGTATTACCATTTCTTTGTTGGTACTATTTGTAGTAGTTTGCATTCCTAAACTATAGAAGCTTTTACAGCAGCCTTGAGTGGCATTTGTCTTCATAGTATTCATTAAAGTATGTAAGAAAAAGCTTGTTCTTCCCAGAAATAGAGATGTTTCTCAGAAAGCAAAACTAGTCATTAATAGTGTCCATCTTTCTCTCCTTGACTATGCTAATTTATACTGACTTCTGTTTTTTTACTACTCCCTTTCCCAGTATGATTTATTCTAGGACTTAATCCATTTTTGTTATTTTTACATAACTGCACTTATTTTCTTTTTGAGATGGTATTTTGCTATCTGGTCTCAAACTGCTGGATTTAAGTAGCTGGGACTTAAAGTATGTGTCACTGAGTCTGGATTTGCAGTCAGTTTTCATAAATGCAGAGACACTTTCCTGTACAGCAATAAGTTAAATCCCCCACATAGTCGGTATTTGGTTAAAACTTACTGAATAGCCAAGATGTGCTTCCCCCCAATCCCAAATTTTTTTCAAAGTACCCCTTTTTGTTTCTTAAAACTTTGTTTCTCTGAGAATAAAAGTAGATTCAAGAAAAGAAGTTTTGGTCACTGGGGATGGTGGCACACATCTCTGATTTGAAAATGAAAGTATACTTAGTAAAAGATGTTTCTTCAAGACACTATGTGTACATGTGTGTAATCTCAAGTACTTTGGAGGCCAAGGCAGGAGGATTTCAAGTCAGAGGCTATCCTAGGCAACCTAGTGAGACCCTATCTAACACTGAAATTGAAAAAGAAAAACCAAAAAACTGAAACAAGCCTGAGGGCATAGCCCAAGTGCTTGCCTGGCTTCCATAACGTCCTAAGTGCAATTCCCTAGTACCACAAGTTTTTTTTTTTTTTTCCAGGAAATATTCTTTTTGAAAATGGTTATACTTTTTAGGGCCAGTGAGGTGGCTCAGTGGGTCAAGGTACTTGTGACCAAGCCTGACAACATAGTTGGATCCCTGGAATCCCTATGGTGAAGGGAAAGAACTGACCTCCAGATAGGTAGAGCACTCAAACACATATACATATATTCACACACAAATACATAATTAAAAAAAATGTTTTTAAGAGAAAATGGTTGAACTTTAAAAAAAGTTGTATTTAGGAACAGTAAGATGGCCCAACAAGTAAAGGCATATGTTGTTAAACCTGACAACCTGGGTTCAATCCCAGGACCCACTTAATAGGAGAGATCCTTCTGAGTTCAAGCCCCAGGACCCACACAGTAAGAGAGATCCAACTCCCACAAGACCTCTGACCTTCACACTCTTGTTGTGACATGCCCATATGCATACATACACATACAACACACACACACTAAAATGCAAAAAAACCTTTTTATTTTTTTTATGTGTATGAGTGCATTGCCTATACATGTGTAAATGCACCTGTGTCACGCAATGCCTGCAGAGATCAGAAAAGGGCATCGTCCCCAAGAACTGGAGTTACAGACAGTTGTTAACTGCTATGTGAGTGCTGGGAACTGAACCATGGTCCTCAGCAAGAGCAGCCAGTGCTCTTAACTGCTGAGCCAACTTACCAGCCCCCAATAAGTTTTTTTAATTTATATTAGGTTATTTAAAAAGCGTATTTGTAAATATATGTTTTAGCTTTAAAAGGAATGGTTTGGTTTGGTTTTGAGACATAGCCTTACTATATATTGAAGGCTGGACTTGAACTTGTGATCATCCTTCTCCTCCTTAACCATCCAAGTGCTGAGATTTTATGTGCAGAAACAATTCTGATTTCACTTTAATTTGCAAATATACAGTGGTTATTTTTGTGCTACTATTCAGTAAGAGAATTATTTTTTCAGTTTAAAAGTTTATTAATGTATTAGTCATATTTGTTTGCATGCTACAGATTATAAAATCTTTCAAATGATCTTAAAGCCAACTTAAACAGTTTAACATTTAATAAACCATTATTAGTGTGTTTTCAGGGAGTGACTGTCCATCACATAAACAATGGTATTGATATTTCTTTCATGTAAATTTTGACTAAAGATAGGATTGCAAGATAGTAAATGTTATTTTTTTTTAAAATAGCTGGGCATGTTGGAGCATGCCTTTAATCCCAGCACTAGGAAGGCAGAAGCAGGTAGATCTCTGTGAGTTCAAGGCCAGCCTGGTCTACATAGGGAGTTCTAGGTCAGCTGGGGCTATAGGGGATACCTGTCTCAAAAAGACCAAAAAATCAAATAAAACAGAAGCTGAAGCTGTGAATGTAGCTCAGTTGGTAGAATGCCTGCCTAACATGCATTTAGCCCTGGCTTCCCTCCCTAGCACTACATTAAAAAAATAAACCAGATGTAGTGGCACATGTCTTTAATCCCAGCATTAGGGAGGTAGAAGCAGGAGTATCAGAAGTTCAGGATCATCCTTGGCTATATATGGAGTTTGAGGCCAGCCTAGGATACATGAGACCCTGTCCTCCTAAAAAAGATTAAGTCAAAAAGTTTTTCTGTATTAAAATTGTAACCTTTTCATCAAAAATAAAGTACTTTAAGTATACCAGTTATACTTTATAAAAGTAAAGTATATAGCCAGGCGTGGTGGCGCACGCCCTTAATCCCAGCACTCGGGAGGCAGAGGCAGGCGGATCTCTGTGAGTTCAAGGCCAGCCTGGTCTCCATAGTGAGTTCCAGGACAGCTGGGCTACAGGGAGACCCTGTCTCAAAAAGACCCCCCCAAAAAGTAAAGTATATAAGTATACTTTATTATAACCCAAACTTTTCTGACAGTTGAAAAGCCATTTTAAGACTGTCAGGTTTTTTTTGTTTTGTTTTCTTCCTTGAAACGGAAAGTCTAGCTATGTAGCCCAGGTTGGCTTTGAAATCACAGTTCTGCTGCCTCAGCCTCCTGCATGCTACAACTACAGGGGTGTTATGACTACTGACTCAAGACCATCAGTTTCATTGCTATAAGACACGCAGTAATAATTGTAACCAATACATATTTACTTTTTTTCTGTATTCTCTTCCAGACTGTGGTAGGTTGGTACAAATTCCGTCGTCATTCAGATCAGATAATGACATTTAGAGAACGACTGCTTCACAAAAATTTACAGAAGCATTTTTCAAGCCAAGAACTTGTTTTTCTGCTGTTAACACCAAGTATAACAACAGAAAGCTGCTCCACTCATTGCCTGGAACATGCCTTGTATAAACCACAAAAAGGGTAAATGCTGATTGATTGGTGGTTATTTTAAGCTAATAGAAAAAACATTCCAAATAGTTTTATAGTATTTTTTGTAGCTTATTTTTCTCATAAAGTGTTGCATTATTAGGTTGTCACAGTAACTCTTGCAAAGTAGATCTCACCGTTAATTATAGGTGAAAAAATGAAGGAAATTGGAAGCCCAGTATGGAATGATGACATGTATTCTGGAACTGAAAATTTGCTGTTATTTCATACTTATGGTGGAAGAAATATTTATTTGGGAAATTGATTGATGTAGTAAAGCTGGGCATTTGAGCAAGTTTGTTTTTTTTTTTTTAATGTGTATGAGTATATTGCCTGCATGCATGCAAGTGTACCATGTCATGCAGTGTTCGAAGAGGTCAGAAGAGGGCGTCAGATCCCCTGGAACTGGAGTTACAGATGGTTGTTAGCTGCCATGTGGGTGCTGGGAACCGAACCCAGGTCCTCTGCAAAAGCAGTTAGTGCTTTTAACTACTGAGCCATCTCTCCAGCCCCTAGAGTAGCTTTTGTAACCTCTGCAAAGAATGCAGTCCTTGATGATATACCATAAAAAAGGCTAACAGGGACTCCCCTTAGGTTATAATAAAATTCTCATTGACTATAAGAATTAAGTTGAATACCAATTAAGATTAATTTCATTGTTCATGTAAATTAAGATAAATCTCAACCATAATACTTTTGGAATAGGACAGACCCAAGTCTAAACAAATAATTCATTTATACCTTATATATATAACCTGAACTTAAGAATATTTTTGTTGCTAATGGGTTTTATCAGTTTTTTGAGATAATGTATGCCTGTGCTGGCCTTGAAGATGAGGTCTTCCTGCGTCAATTTCCCTAGTTGCTAGGATTACAGATAGTGGGTTACCATACAAGGCTCTGAACTTCTGTTTTGATTGTGAGCTATCACATGAGGACATGGAATTTTCCATTTGTTTTATGATGTATTTTTGGTGAGACATGGTCTTACTGTATAAACCAAACTGGGCCAGAATTTGATACATAGGCCTGTCTGGCTTTGAACTTAAAATCTTCGTGCCTTAGCCTTACAATAAATTTTCCATGTGACGGTGTTGAAAATTTTTCATATTTTAAGCTATGTTTGGTGGTACACACCTATAATTCCAGTAGGTAGAAACAGGAAGATCGAGGGTTTGAGGTGACTTTGGTTTACATAAGAGCCTGTGTCAAATTTCAAATTTTTATGCTAGGGATGCTTAACTTGTTCTGCCTTTTTGGAGGGTTGGGGACATAGAACACAGGCAAGAGTGCTCTACCACTGAGCTTTGTTCCCAACAAAATAAATTTTCTTAAAAAAGGTCTCATGCTGGGCATGGTGGTGCATGGCTTTAATCCCAGCACTTGGGAGGCAGAGGCAAGCCGATCTCTGTGAGATTGAGGCCAGCCTGGTCTACATAGCAAGTTCCAGGCCAGCTGGGGCCACAGGGAGACCCCGTCTCAAAAAAAAAAAAAAAAAAGACCAAAAAATAAAAAAGGGGATGGGGGTCTCATCCATATGGGTGGTATATCCTGTGCTTGAGGGGTGAAGGCAGGATCAGGAGTTCAAGGTTATCCTAGGCTATATAGCAGGTTTGAAACTAGCCTTGGCTATCTGAGATCATGTCTCAAAAACAGGCCAGCGAGATGACTCAGCTGGTAAAAATGCTTGTCCCACAAGCCTTAAGACTTGAGTTCAGTCTCCAGAACCCTTGGTGGAAAGAGAGAACCAACTCCCAAAAGTTATCCTCTGACCTCCATACATGCAGCACTTACATACAGAGACACACACATTATAAACATATATGATAAACCCAAGGTATCAACTATGCTATCCCCAGTGACCTTTAACTCACCATTTTCCTTCTCCACCTCTGGGGTTGCCTTAGTTACTTAGGTTTACAGTAATATGCATGATCAAGTAAAATATATATTAAAATACCTTTTCACGCCATTTTTTTTTATACTATGTATATTTCTCAACTGTTTTTTGTTTGGTTTTTTGTTTTTGAGGCAGGGTTTAATGATATAGCCCTGGTTGGTCTGGAACTGACTATATAGGACAGGCTGGCCTCAAACTCTCAGAGATCTGCTTGCTTCTGCCTCCTAAATGCTAGAATTTTGGGAATGTACCACCATGCTTAGCCTACTTCTCAAACTTTTTTTTTTTTGAGACGGGGTTTCCCTGTAGCCACAGCTGGCCTGGATTCAATATGTAGACCAGGTTGGCTTCGAACTCACAGAGATCTGCCTGTCTCTGCCTCCCAAGTGTTGGGATTAAAGGCATGCACCAGCTCTATTCAACCTTGAAAAGCTAGTTGCTTCAAGTTGGCCCATGTGGAGAAATTCTATCTTGTTAAGCGATAGTAGGGGTTTTGTTTTTCTTTTAATGTTGTTCAGAAAGTAGTATACTCAGATATGTAGATGCTATTCTTTTAAATTCATATTTCAATTTTTTTTAAATTTCATCAGACTTTTTTATAGGGTACCTTTGGTGGTTACTAATCTTGGCATGTCTGAACAACTGGGTTATAAAACAGAATCAGTTTCCTGCACATCCACTGGCTTTAGCAGAGCAGTAACAACACACAGGTAAGATTTTTATTACCCAAACAGTGAAAATGAAGGGAAAACAGATTGGATGAACATGCATGTCAACTACAGTATTCTTGCCATCTCCACATTTTCCTCTATATCTGTCTACTTAAAAGCTCTGTATACCTTTTTTTTTTTTTTTTTTTTTGCAGCTCTGAATTTTTTAATGAAGATGGCTCTTTAAAGGAGGTGCATAAAATAAATGAAATGTATACTTCTATACAAGAAGAATTAAAGGTATGTTGCATGAAGCACTTAAAGACCCCTTTAGAGTTTGTGTCAAATAGATCACTATCAATTTGTTATGGATAATTTGATACTTATTAGATAGGCTATATTTCATTAGCTGTCATAATGGAGACTACAGTCTCAGTGGTGGACAACTATACAAGTCTTGTCATATCATGGTTGTAGCTTTTTTTTTTTTTTGTCTTTTTGAAACAGGGTCTCCCTATAACCACAGCTGGCTTGGAACTCACTATGTAAACAAGGCTGACCTTGATCTCACAGAGATCCACCTGCCTCTGCCTCCTGAGTTCTGTGAAATGAAGGGAAAACAGATTGGATGAACACACGTCAACTACAGCATTCTTGCCATCTAAAGGTGTGCAATACCATGTCCAGCTTGTAGCTATTTCTTTTATCTTTACTTATTTTTTTAATGATAAGGTCTCACTATGTAGCCCTGCCTCGCCTGGAACTTGCTGTGTAGATGAGGCCAGCCTTGAATTCACAGAGCTCCATCTGCCTCTGCCTCCTGAGTGCTGGGATCAAACGTGTATGCCACCACATCTAGTGACTGTACTTATTTCTGGTGGCTGTAGTTATTTGTTTCAGATGTTACTTTCATTCCACGATCCATGTTGAAGCAGAGGCAGGTGGATATCTGTGAGATTGAGGCCAGCCTGGTCTATATTATGAGTTCTAGACCAGCTAGAGCTATATAGGGAGACTTGTCTCAAAAAGAAATTTTTAAAAAAATTTTGCATGAGTGTTTTGCCTGCATATTTAAGTGCTCCTGTGCTTACAATGGCTGTGGAGGCCAGAAGAGGGTGTCGGATCCCCAGGAACTAGAGTTATGGATGGTTGTTAGCTACCATGTGGTTGCTGGGAACTGAATCTGAGTCCTCTGCAAGAGCAGCCAGTGCTTACTTGGCCATCTCTCCAGCCCCAAGTAGCAGCTTTTATTTGAGACATTTTGGCAAAAGGAAAAAAGCAAGAAACAGGGTGAAGTCCTAGAACTGCCATGCCATTTTCACTCAGATTTCATTGGCATAGTACATCTTATAGCAGTACCACATAGCATAGACTCATATTCTTTTTCTAAGACAGAGAAGCACAACTACCACTATAGTCTGTCTCATGTCAATTTGTTTGGCAGAAGTGCAAGAGATTATTGGACCACTGTAAGATAAAAGGAGAGTGGGAAAAACAGACTGCAGCACAAGTTTGACCTCTGAGACAGGAAAGAAGAACAATTGGTTAGGAAGAGCCTTGGATTATAGTAGCATTCTATGAAAGTTCATCTGTGTTGATGAGGAATCCTTAATGAACAAAGTGCCCCAAAGTTGTTCCAGAGGCACTAATGCCCCTACTGTGCTCAGTCAGTCCTAGGAACACCTTTTTGGAAATAAGCCTTAAAAGCAAGCACAGTGGGGCTGGAGATGTAGCTCAGATGATAGAATGCTTGCCTAGCATTCACAGAGCCCTGGGTTTGATCCACAGCATCACATAAACCAGGTGCGGTAGTGTGCACCTATAATTTTAGCACTGGGGAGATGAGGCAGGAAGATCAGAAGTTGAAGGTAATCCTTGGGTATACCCATAGTGAGCTTGAGGCCAGCCTGAGATAAATAAGGCCTTGTGTCAAAAAAAAAAAAAAAAGCAAAATTAGTTACAAAACTAGGAACATCAGACAGCTAAAACCCAGTTGGCTACATAGATTATACTTCTATGGCCTCCATACTTACCCAAAGAGCATGCTAACAGAAAAAGGGTTAACATACTTTATATACTACTATTACACTGCTATTTTCTTTAAAAAATTTTTTTTATCTATGAGTGTTTTGCCTGCATGTACGTAAGTGCACCCATGTGCACAAAATGCCCAGGGAAGCCAGAAGAGGGCATGAGATCCCCTGGAAGTGGAGTTACAGATGGTGGTTAGCACTATGTGGGTGCTGGGAGCAGAACTAGGGTCCTCTTCAAGAACAGCTGCTGTTATAACCATTGAGTCAGCTCTCCAGCCCCACATACTATTTTTTTTTTGTAAGTTTTTTTGTTTTAATTAGGTGTATATGTGTGAGTTTAAGTTCAGTGCCTGAGGAAGCCAGAAGAGAGCACTGGATACCCTGAAGCTGGAGTTACAGACAGTTGTGAACCACCCACCATGGGTGCTGGAAACTAAACTTGGGTCCTCTGCAAGAACAGTAGGTGCTCTTAACCACTGAGCCATCTCTCCAGCCCCATATACTATTTTCTTAAAGATATATTTTTATTTATGTGTATGAATGTTTTGTCTGCATGTGTGTATGTGGACCAAATGTAAGCTGACCACAGAGGCCAGAAGAGGGTGTCAGATCCCATGGAATTAGAGTTAACAGGCAGTTGCAAGAGGCCAGATATGGGCCCTGGGAACTGAATCTGGATCCTCTGCAAGAGCAGCTAGTACTCTTAACTGCTGAGCCATCTCTCCAACTTCATGTACTATGAGTCAGGTTCTTTCTGTATCCCCAGCTGGCCTCAAACTCAGAGATCTGTCTGCCTCTGCCTCCCAAGCGTTGGGATTAAAGGCATGCACCACCACACCTGGCTTTATAATCTTATTTTTAATGCAATGTATTTTTAAAGTTTTAATTGACAGCTAAAACTTTATCAGGTAAAGTCAGGTATAGTTCACACCTGTCATCTCAGCACTGTAGGAGAATCAGGAATTTAAGGTTATCAGCAACATAGTGAGTTTGAGGCTATGTAAGACACTATTTCAAAAAAAAAAAGGCGGGGGGGAACGGGGAAAGAAACTAAGTATCTTTTAAAATCTGTATATGTATGTTATGGAATGGTTAAATCTAGGTAACAAATGCTTTATGTCAGTTATCATTTTTGTGGATAGAACACTTAGCATTCATTCTGTGCATTTTTATTTTTAAGACAGGATCTCCCTGTAGCCTCAGCTGGTCTGGAACTTACTATGTAGACCAAGCTGGCCTCAATCTCTTCACTGTGCATTTTTTTAAAAAGATTTTAATTATGTGTATAGGTGTGTGACATGTACGTGGGTATGTGTCCATGAGTACAGGTGCCTGCAGAAAAGGATGTTCAGTCTCCTGAAGCTGGAGTTTACAGGCAGTTGTGAGCCACCTGACATGGGTGCTAGGTTCTTGCAAGAGCAGCGAGCGCTCTTGCATTTTTCAAGAGTATATCATCTTTAGCTCTTCTCTTTCTCAGACTCTGTCACTGCCACATTTTATTTATCTTTCAAAAGACATGTTGATTCTTCATTTTGACAACTTGAATAGTTCTGAGCAGATATGCTAAAAAGTACCCATTATAACAAGTTATTCCAACTTTATTTTTACCCTCTACTTTTGATTTCATACTAAGAAACATTCTCTCTTATAAATTTTTGTTATTAAGGTATATTCCCAAATGGAATTCTCATTCTTTTAAAACTAAGACACACAGGGTCAGTTTGCTTTTCAAAAGTACTCTCTAAAGAGATTTAAAATCTCTATGGCTTCCTTTTATAGTACTAAAATATATTCACTTGTTTTTGTTGTGTTTATTGTTAGGGTGGGGTGTGTGTATGTTATGAGATAGGCCCTCATATAACACAGGCTGGCCTCAAACTCCCTGTGTAGACAAGGATGATGAATTCCTAATCCTTCCTCCGCCTCCTAAATGCTGGGATCACAGGCATACATCTTAGTTCTGTGGGGTTATGTGTGTGTGTGTTCATGTGCATTGTTTACATGTGCACAGTTGGGGTGAACCTCACATTCTAGGCAAGTACTCTATCACTGAGCTGTATCTCTAGCTCTGTATTTCTATTTCAGAGTGAATTTCCTTTTGTTTATTCATAGATGAATATATGGTATGTTAAGAACATGAAAATGGAAAGTTAATGCATGAAAAGCATGTCACTGCCTATAAAGCAACATCAAATGCTTTTTATTGAGGTCCTCCAAAAACACAAATAAAAATAAAATTTAGGGGCTAGAGAGATGGTTAGAGATAGTAAGACTCCTTGTTGCTCTTGTAGAGGACCTAAGTTGGTTCCCAGCACCCACGTGGTACCTCACAACAGCCTGTAACTCCAGGGCATTTGACATGCTCTCCTGACCTTTGTAGGAACCAGGCACAAATTCAGTGGAGATAAATACATGGAGGCATTTACACATACACATAAAATAAAATCCTTAAAAAAAATGAATATAAAAAGGCGAACAGTATTTTATATTCTGGACTACTGAGGATTTTTTGAGTCTAGGCTACTATAAGTACAAAACTTCTAATTTTTTGTCTATGCCATTTTATTTTGCAGAGAGTATGCCAAAAAGTTGAACAAAGTGAGCGAGAAGTAGAGAAACTAATAATGGATGTAAACAGATTAAAAGAAGCTAGAAAAAAGCAACAAGCACAGATTAAAGCAGAACGTAAGCAACAAATGAACACAGCTGTACTTTCATGCTTTTCTTGTTTGAATTATGGCTCTGTGGACAAGCCAACTGTACTATGTATGAATTAGTCCACACTGGCATTAAAAGGTGTGATTGCACTGATACCCTTAAATACTCCTGACCAGAGAACATGGCCCTGTAGGAGGTGTGTGCTATATTGTTGATACTAGAGCCTAAAACTTTAGTTTTCTTAGACTATTGTGGCATGTAAATAGGTGTTTGGTATTATTCATGTCTTTTTTTTTTTTTGGTCTTTTTGAGACAGGGTCTCCCTGTAGCCCCAGCTGTCCTGGAACTCCCTATGTAGACCAGGCTGGCCTTGAACTCAGAGATCCGCCTGCCTAACCTCCCAAGTGCTCGGGTTAAAGGCATGTGCCACCCCCCGCAATGTCTTTTTTTTTTTTTTGGTCTTTTTGAGACAGGGTCTCCCTGTAGCCCCAGCTGTCCTGGAACTCCCTATGTAGACCAGGCTGGCCTTGAACTCAGAGATCCGCCTGCCTAACCTCCCAAGTGCTCGGGTTAAAGGCATGTGCCACCCCCCGCAATGTCTTTTTTTTTTTTTTTTTTTGGTATTTTTGAGACAGGGTATCCCTGTAGCCCCAGCTGGCTTGGAACTTGCTGTGTAGACCAGGCTGGCCTCCACCATCTGACGCCCAGCGTCACTCTCATTCTGAATAATCTTGAAATCTTTACATAAAAGATTTGTGAAGTAAACATATGCTGAGCTCTTATTTTATACCTTTTAGGAGAGAAGAGTGTCCACGACAACCCTGAAGAAAACATTTTTCTTTGTCAGGCTTTACGAACCTTTTTTCCTGATTCTGAAGTTCTTCATTCTTGTGTTATTTCTTTGAAAAATAGGCTTATTTCTCAAAGTAGATGTAACACCAACCACCACCTTGATATGGCAGACAACCTGACTTTAATGGTAGAGTACATTTACACTCCTGAAGCGAGTCCAGCTTCTGCACCACGGATGATTAAACGTAAATCTCTAGACATACATGATCAATGGCACATGAAGAAAGCACGGTTGTTAGAGACAGAAAACCAACAGTCTGTGACAGATGTCTCCAACAGTAATCAAGAAAAAGCTTCCACAACAAACAGCCCAGATACAGATACAGAGATTGAGAGCACAGATGATGGTGAATATCCTCGGTCTCCTACATTTTGATTCTTTTTAAAATGAAGCCAGGTGTTTTTATTTCTACTGCAGCCTACTTGTAGCAATACAGAAAAGATTGTTTTTACTATATTCAGCTCTTCATAATTGTGGATAAATTATTTTTACTGTTCATCTCTTTACAGTAATATGTAAATGTTTTGCATGTTTTATAAAGTATTTAAAAATTCTTATTGTGTGTATCTGTACATGTTCAGCTACAGTCCCTTCTCCACCACTGTACCTTCCACACCCAGTCATTCCTCCTTCCCCTTTCAAATCTCATGTATTTCATTGGTTTCCCCAACCCCCCTTCCTTAAAGATTCATTTTTCCCCATCTCATGGACCCGTTTCTAGTATCTTAACCTCTATTTACATATAACGTATTTAGGATGCTTTTGGCCTTTGTTTTTATTTTTGTGGTGCTGGAACTGAACCCAGGGCCATGCGCATGGTAGGCAACTGTTCTACCACTAAGCTACACTCTAGTCAAAAATGCTTTTATTTCAAAGCACAACTTTTCAGTGTACACCCCCCCCCACCCACCCGGCAAACTGTTTAAGCTAGAACATTCTTTGAAACTGGAAAACAGACACTAGTCTTATTTTCACAGCATGGAAAGAAGCATAAAGTTTGTAAACTTGTGCCAGCAAGATGGCTCAGCAAGTAAAGATACCTGCTACCAATTCTGAGGACCTTGGTTGGATCCCTGGGAGCCATGCTGTGGAAAGTGAGAACTGACTCCTACAAGTTGTCCTGACTTCCACATGTACACCATGGATGCATGTACCACTCCCATACCACAGACAATAAACATCATAAATACTTAAAAGTTTGTAAAATTTTACTTTTACAATAAGTCAATATTCTTATTGTTTTTTTTTTGTTGTTGTTGTTTGTTTGTTTGTTTGTTTTTGAGATAGGGTAGCCCTAGCTGGCCTGGAACTCAACTATCTAGACCAGGCTGACCAGGCTCCATTCTCTTGCCTCTGCCTCCTGAGTGCTGGGATCACAAGTCATTAATATTCTTATTTAAAGAGCTGGAGAGATGGTTCAGTGCTTGTTCTTCCAAAGGACCCAAGTTCAGTTCCTATCACCAGTGTCAGGTTGTTCACAACTGCCTATAACTCCAGCTCCAGGAGATTCAATGCCCTCTTCTGGCTACTGAGGGCACCAGTATACACATGGCATGCATACACACACACAAAAAAAAATCTTTTTTTGTTTTTGAGACAGGGTCTCCCTGTAGCCCCAGCTGTCCTGGATTCACTATGGAGACCAGGCTGGCCTCAAACTCAGAGATCCACCTGCCTCTGCCTCCCAAGTGCTGGGATTAAAGGCGTGTGCCACCACACCCAGCAAAAAAACAAATCTTAAAAATAAGTGATGATAAAGTACATGGAGTTGGGTGCAGAGTTCAACATCTATAGTCCCAACTCCTCTAGGAGCTGAGGCGGAGATCACTTGAGCCCAGTAATTGGGAAAGCTGTCCCTGTCTCCAAAATAGAAAAACAACCCCCCCCACACACACACAAAAACCCTGTCTTTGTAGATATATTTGTGAAGTGTACACATGGTACCTTCATTACTGAACATAACATTGAATGGATACCTTTACCCTTGTACTTCCACCAATTTCTTTTTTTTTTTTTTTTTTTTCCAGTTTTTTTTGGACAGGGTCTCCCTGTAGCCCCAGCTGTCCTGGAACTCATTATGTAGACCAGGCTGGCCTTGAACTCACAGAAACCTGCCTGCCTCTGCCTCCAAGTGCTGGGATTAAAGGAGTGTGCCATCATGCCTGGCTCTACCAATAACTTTCTAGAGGAATTACTTGAGAGAATTCTCTCTCTCAATAAAACTATAATCTTGTGTATTGATGTGCACTAATTATCATGGGGTGGTTTGAAGCCACTTAATACCCAGAGACGGTTTGTGCAAACTGCTGGGTGGTTTAACTGGTGTCATAAGTAAACTGGTACTATACATAGCAGGAGAGCCAGAGTTATCAATTAATCCTAATTACATCACAGAGATTGAAAGTAAATTATGCATCATCCCTTCATGTAAACACAATCTGTTTAAAGACAGATTTGTCCAGGAACACATACTTGGTCTTTCTGTGATTAGTTCACTCCATCTTAGTGTACACCTTTGCAAAGAGAACTACTCTCCTAACCCGGTACAACTAGCACTTACTAGTTAGGAAATGACTCCAAAGGCATGGGAAATGCCATACAAGCATGAGGACTAGAGTTTGGATCCCCAGCACCCACATTTATAAAAGCCAGGAGTGGGTGTGATGGCTCACAGTAAGAGCACTTGCTGCATAAGCCTGACCACCTCAGTTCAATGTCCAGATACCAGGGTGGGGGGAAAAACCCACAAAGAAAAAAACTCCAGCTGGGCATGTTGGCACACGCCTTTAATCCCAGCACTTGGGAGGCAGAGGCAGGTGGATCTCTGTGAGTTCAAAGCCAGCCTGGTGTCTATATAGTGAGTTCCAGGACAGCTTTGACTACAGGGAGACTGTCTCAAAAAAAAAAAAAAAAGACAATGACTCCAGGCATTTATAACTCCAGAGCCAGTCGTGTGTGCTATTCAAACAAGCATCCCACCTTCATACACCCATTTCCCTAACATTTCAATTGTAAGAACAGAATCTGAGGTAAAGTGGAATTCCAATACAAGCCCTCCCTTATATATTTCCTTTCCCATTATCAGTAATATGTGACACTATACATAACAACCATAAATACTTTTATTCAAAATGTGTACGATGTAATTAGCATTAGCATTTTAAGCAGTTGGTCCACAGAACACTCACTGGTATGGAGAGGAAGCACCATACCACCTCTCCTACCTGCTGAAATGCTTTCTACCCAACTTAGTACTGAAATACAACCACTTACAAATTTACTGGCAGTAACCTTATAAAATTTACTCTCGATATCTGATGTTACAAACTTTAGGGTCTTTGAGATATGCAGGATCCTTGTATGTAACTGGCATAAATCCTGTAAAGAGATAATTAAAGCTCTTTAAAAAAGATAATGAACAAAATTCTTACTAGTTTAATTCAGTTGTTTAGGTATACTTACCCATTATCTGGGCTCTCTTAATTGCTTTTGCTATTTCTTTCTGTTTTTTTCCACAAAGACCTATAAAAATTGGAGGGAAATGTTCTTATTCTTAAGAAAATGCCAATATTAAGTTTACAAATATTTTCTAATAGTAAATACTTTACATTTTGTCGGTTATACAGTCTCATAAACATTCAATTCTGGTATTATATATAGCTCAAAGATACAGAACACCTGGGTTTGAATCCCAGCACCCACATGGCAGCTAACAACTGTCCGTAACTCCAGCACCAAGGAATCCAATGCCCTTTTCTGACCCCCGAGGGCACCGAACTACACAGATACACTTACACACATTCAGGCCATTTACTCATACACATAAATAAAGCAACAACAAAAAACTCAATTTGGATATAGCCAAAATATGGCCATCAGTTGCTGACACTAAGTTTTAGTCTAGGAATTATAGTATACTTCGTAATGACACAATTTGTTTTCTAATGTGTATGAGTGTTTTACCAGCATGTAAGTGTCCAAGTACAATGCCCTCAGAGGTTAGAAGAAGGTGTCAGATCCCCTGGAAATGGAGTTACAGATGGTTATAAGCTGCCATATAGGTGCCAAGAATCATATCCAGGTCCTCTGAAATATTCACAGCCAGTGCTCTTAACCACTGGGCTCCAAGAACGTTATTTTTTAAAGACCAAATTTCTTTTTTTTTCTAAATACTTTATTTACTATTTTTATTTTATGTGTATGCATGTATTGCTTGCAATGTGTGGGGGTCAGAAGAGGCACTGGATCCCCTGGAACTGGAGTTAACAGATGGCTGTTAGCTGCCACCTGGGAACCAAACTGGGGTCCTCTGCAAGAGCAGCCAGTGGTCTTAACTGCTGAGCCATCTCTCCAGCCCGTGAAGACAAATTTCTGTATGTTGTCAGCCTCTAGTTAAATGTGAGTAAAAAAGATAAAGTAATAACCCATGAGGCTAAGTACCTAATTTCAGTTCTTGTAACATTTGTATGGTTTAATAATGATTTAGAGCATGATTAGAACATTTATCAGTTTTCTGAAATAATAGATTGATGTAATTCTTATCTACATTTCAATTTCTGTGGTTAAAAACATACCTGTTATGTGCCTTCCATAAATGCATCCAGTGAATGGAGAAATAAACTGGGACAAAAGCTATTTTTGAGTTGTAATTGGAGGGAAAAAAAGTGTATTAGTATACTTGTTATTCAACCCTGAATGTGTGAATTTTTAAAAAAGCTTTATGCATGACCTTCAAGTTACATAAAGATTTAAGACAAATAACATGTAATATCTCATGTTAACAAACCACCTTTTTAAAAAAGTTAAAACATCTAGTGTATCAAAAAAGTCAATATGACCAAGTAACAGGTTACTCAGTGTATTCGTTCAGTGCTAAACCTGTTGACTTTCCACCCATATCTAAAAGACCACCACTTCTAGCAAGTCACTAAAAATTTCATCTAGGACGATAAGCTATCATATTACTGTGAAGATGAATGATCAGACTACAGTGACCTCTTCAAGAGCTACATTTACTGTAACTTATTTTTATTAAATACATTATTAATATTTTCTAGGTACCAGGCACTGTATTTCGCTCTTTGCACATTCCTACTATACTGTATTTTTTTTCTAACTTTTTTTTGCAATTGATACATGGTAATTTTACAACATATACTGTATTTTTTATAATTTCTTATATTTTCTCCCTCAAAGACAGCTATCATTTTATCCAACTGTCAAAATACTTAACTCCAACACCATTCACTCTCCCCAGATTTGCCACTTCTAATTTTCTGGGAGCTTAAAGAGAAAATATTTGAAGCCATAATGTACGGTGGTGAATTGCCAAGGGTCAACTTCACTAGAGATTTCTCCAAAGCACTCATGCCTGTAGATGGAGAATCAATGCTACAGTGAGCTACTGTTCAGACCTTTCAAACAGAGAAAAAGAGAAACTGTAAACTGAAATAGTGAATGAGGGTGAGCCAAGGGCTTGGAACTGTATAAAGAAAATTATAACCAGATCTGATATTATGTAGCTGCTAAAAACAATTGCCTCTACATAAAACCTGGTATGAAAGTGACATGACTCTAAGCAAACAGATAAAATCCTCAAGTCCAATGTCATAAGAAGTAAAACCATTCCTCACCTGTACATTCTTATAATCTACACGTTTCTCACACAAGATACATTTCTTAAGAGGCTCCTTATAAGGGTTTTCCATTGCAATGGGCTAGGATAAAAGAACAGTGTCATAAAAAAATGTAAAATGTGTCAATCTGAGTTGGGGAGGGGCTTACTGCTACATTTAAATCCCTGTGTACATACATACTTTGTAACACTTTATTCTGTGCCAATGTGACTAAAGAGGAATTAACTTATGGAGGATTCTGAAACAAAATATCTCTGCAGAAACGGGCTTCTGGGAGAAATAAGTGTGATAAAGGGATTCTTTACTCAAATATTTTGCTTGGATTACAGATGACTAAACCATCTTATTTAAAATTAATTCAATCTAGCTTTAAGAAAAACAGCACAATCGAAAACATCCAATTCCTAAGTTAAACTGCTAAATAATTTACTCATGCCCATGTTTCTCTATCAGGAGTGTTTTCACTATTTCATTTTATAAAGAGGTAATGCCCCATGGCTTACTGTCAAAAAAGGTTTTCTGACATCAACTTTACGGGCTGCTATATAAATTAGTGTGGGAGCCCTTTTGGCTGTTCTGTCCTTGGTGTCTCTGTCACAATGCCTCCCTCCTATGGTAAGAATGGTTGGCTCCAGTTTAGAGGCATTTTAAATGTTTTAATTTTTTTGTTAGCCTAAGAGGTACAGAATTCATTGTGAGATTTTATTTATATGTACAAATATACCTGTTAGTAAACTTTGTTCTTACTTGCCTCCACTGCCCTCACTCATCCTGCCTCTCCCCATCTTGCTGATCCACTTCCTCATCCCAAATAATTCCTCCTTCTTTTATGACATGACAGATTCTATCACCCTCTCTTGTCCCCTCCCATTAACCTCTTCTTCCCCTCTCATGGTCTCTTTTTTACTTTCATATCCCACATTTATATTGTTTTTTCTTTCTTTTTGGGAACAGATTCTGTGTATCCCTAGCTGCTATCAAACTTGCTGTCCTCCTGCCCGAGCCTCCCAAGTGCAAACTACCACATCTTGGTACAAGTTCTTAATTTAGAAACAACTTTAAAATTTATGATCTACTGTAATTATAACAAATTAGTATGCGAGCCTTTTTCTGTAGAGACACATAATTTTCATTAGCATTTCCATGGGATCTATGACCAGAAGAAGAGTATGTTTCCTTTATTCACTTACAGTATGGTAAATAGATCAGATGACTAAGATGGATGCACATCTGTCCAGACAAATCCTTTGCTATTAACAGTTTCTAAAGCTTCCTTTGTTTTCTTGCTTTTCTGTATTTGATATACTTGATCTTAGCCAAAAAAGCTGAGAAGCAAATTTTTTTTTTCACTTATTTTCTTATTTAGAGCCTAGGGTGGCCTCCAACTCAATAAATCCTCCTGCCTCAGCTTCCCAAGTGCTGGGATTACAGTGTATGTGCATCACCACCATGTCTAGCTTGTCTTAAATTTTCTTTTAATATTTATTATTTTTATTTTATGTGTATAAGTGTATTGCCTGCATGTAAGTACACCTGTGTCATACAATGCCCACAGAGATCAGAAGAGGGCATTGGATTCCCTGGAACTGGAGTTAGGGATGGTTGTTAGCTGCCATGTGGGTGCTGGGAATTGAACCCAGGTCCTCTGCAAGAGCAGTCAGTGCTCTTAACTACTGAGCCATCTCTCCAGTCCTGTCTTGAATATGGTATTAGGTGTCAAAGAGTTTTGCCTGTAGTAAGAAAGCTCAAGCTACCCAAGTCCATGTGCATCATTTAAATCCATTAAAATACACCTACAGTTTAGAAGCAGCTGATGCAATGTCCTAATGTAAAACTTTCATTTGGATCTCTTATCAAGGTAGCCTGCAAAAACTGATGAGATTTTGGACAATCCCTAAATTCCATTACATAACTACAATATTCTGTCTACCCAGGCTAACTTTTGAAATTCTCAAATCATATATCCTTGAAATCTAGGAATAAAAATAGGGTCTAACAAATGCCATGAGTCGGAATTCCCTTCAAAACCTGTGACCAGAGTCAGGAAGTTATACTTTCCAAGCTCAAAGTAACCATTAATTTAACTGTTTTGCCATATAACTGAACTCAAATAGATAAATCTTACCAGGTCCTCATTGCTGGTTACTTGTTTATACTGTGAACAAACTCTTCTCCACAGCACTGCAATTAAACAGAAATGGCAATAACCCAATTATTTTCAGCAGCTGAATGTCTAACAAAGATAAGGCTAGTGGCACAATATGAAATAAAGGTTTTATATTCCTTTTACTCAATGATACATCCTTTAATTTACATTTGGGGGCACAATATAAAACAAACTGTGTGACTTCCAAGGCTTTGGAAAAAGGGCATATAATTCCCTCTCTTATAAAACCTCTCCTCAGGCTGGAGAGAGGGCTGGGTAGTTAAGAGCGCTTACTGCTCTACGGGAGGACCTGAGTTCGATTCCCAGCACCCACATCAGAGATTCACAACTACCTGTAACTCCAGCTCCAGAAGGATCCCACATCTCTGGGGTCCACAGAAACCGGCATTCACAAGCAAATACGGGCACAAAGACCCATACACAGAGTTAAAAATAAGTTAAAAATCTTTTTTAAAAAAGCTCCCTCCTCATCCCTTCCCACAGTTACCATATTTTAATACAAATGTACAAGAGACGCAACAGAACGGTACTGTCACACCAAAAGGAAAATGAGTTGGTTGGTAGGGAAGCACCGAAATAAAAATTTCAATTTTAAAGAGCTGACTGCAACTCCCAAGTCCCTTAAGCTTTAACATCCTAGTCACGGGAGATTACATAGTTCCACCCGTCTTAAAAAAAAATCTCAGCGTCGCCAAGTGAGGATGGCATCGTTGTCAGCACCTAGGCGGAGGCTGCAACTCTATAACGGAGACGTTACCCGCGGAAATCCCGCGGCCTGCGAGGGAGGCAGCAGCCGTTCCCAACTTCTTCCTCCCGGCACCGCGCACAGCGACCGCAGCAGCCATGGTCCCTCGCGCTTACTCTTCCTTTCCTTTTTCCCAAGCGCATCCACAGGTCCCTTCCGGTCTCTTCCCCTGAGGGCCGGGGTATTCCACTCAAACGTTCCGGGAACGAATGTAGAGAACAGGCGAAAGGATAGGTGGGATTTCACTGCACCTGCGCTACCCCTTCCGGTTCCCGGGCTCGCGTGACGCAGGCGCTTAGCCCGACAGAGGTGGAACCGTGTCACTTGTGGAATCCAGAGGTGGAACCCTGCACCTACATCTGGTCCACTGACCGTGGCAGCTGATTTGGGGTCTTGTTCTGGGCGGTGAAGACGCGGATCCGCAGCTGGCGTGTCGCGGTCGCCGGGCATGAGGCCGGGACCTAGCCATGGAGGAAGGCGGCTCCCGCATCCGCCGGCGTGTGTCTGCCCGCAAAAGGAATCGTAGCTTAGAGGGCATCTGTGCCTCTCCCCCCGCGACCCAGTCCCTGACCGGCGCCGACCAGGAGGAGGAAGCGGGGGCCGGGAGCCGGCGACGAAAAACTGTGGGCCTGGAGCCCGGCCAGGTACAGCCCCACCTACTCCTTCCCCACCCGGCCTGGTCCTGGGAACACCCGGAGCTTGGTGCCTACCCCGGGCCCCTCCCGAAACCGCTGGGAGACGCCGTGGAAGGTTTGAAACTGCCGAAAGACTGCCAGTTTCTTCTCAGGTGCAAACAGTTGACTGATGAGATAAATGCCTCCATTTGCCCCTGTCGTGGTTGTACCCGTGTTCAGCTCTTAGGAGATACTGGCTTGTTATCCCTATTTCTAAGTTGATGTGAACTGTTCACACACACGCACACACACTTACGCAGAAAAAGTGTACACAGGGCAGCCAAGTGGCGGGACAGGGACACAAGCCAAGTCTTCGAAATGACTGCTGCTTCTACTTTACTAATAAAATCAAATTTATTGTCCGCCCATTAATGTGCTGGTTACTTTCTTAGCTACAACATCTTGATTTTACAACAGTAATCAGACTCCAAGTAGCTTCAGTAATTATCTCACATTTTACATCTTTATGTGTAGGCTGTGGGTTCAAATTTAAGTACCAAAAAATAGATTTACAATCCCACTATCACTGGTCTGGTCTGGGGATATAGCACACTTGGTAAAATATTTTGGTAGCTTGCATAAAACCTAGAGTTTGATCCCCAAGCAGAGCCTAAAACTAGGCATGGTGATGCCTAGGCATACCTATAATCCCACACTCAAGAAGTAGAGGCAGGAGGATAAGGGTCATCCTTGGCTACATAGTGAGTTCAAGGTCAGCATGGACTATATGGGACCCTGACCCATGTCAAAATAATTAAGGATCCTGATTTCATCCCATTAGTCCAGAAACACTGTTGTTTAGACAAGTCAGTTCACCTCTCTGGACTTCTGTGGTTTTTGGTCTTTTGTTTGTTTTTGTTTTTTTTTAATCGGAGGATGGTAATATATTTGCATATAGGTATATAATTGATACAGGCCTTTGCTGGAGCTTTTTACTCTTAATGAAGATTGACTATTCTAGATGTATTTTTGTTTCCTTTCTAGCAAAGTGACAGTGAAGAAGACATGTTTGGTGACAGCTATACAGAAAACTCCTTTTTAGCTCAAGTTGATGCCCTAGAACAGAAATATATGCAATCTCCTGAACATAGGAAACATGTTACAGACTTTGCCACCGAAGATCTTTGTTCAGAAAGCATCCAAAACAAACTTGGTATTACTGCTGTAAGCAACTTGTCTGGGTCTAAAATGAATGAGGATGCAAAGAACCAGATTGGCCATGATGTCCCTGTTGAACCTGGAGATGGTCTTCTGTTTGAAGTGCCATCTTCTCAAGTCTTATATTTTGAACATTTGCAGAACACTTCAAATGATTTGGGTCATCAGTCTACTGAAGAAAGAGACAGGAACTCACACAAGACAGCAGATGAAGACTTGTCCTGTACTCGACTAGAACAGCCCCAGCAAAATGATGAATTCACTTCTACAGTCAAGGATACTTCAGAGATGAGTAGGACAAAAAGTGTAAAGGATCATCTGAAAAGTGCCATGACTGGGAATGCCAAAGCCCAGACACCAGTATTTTCTAGGAGTAAACACTTCAAAGAGACGCTCCTGTCTGAAGAAATTAGTGTTGCTAAGAGAGCAATTGAGTCGTCATCAGATGATCTTGGTCCTTTTTATTCACTTCCCAGCAAAGTGAGAGACCTTTATGCTCAGTTCAGAGGAATTGAAAAGTTATATGGTAATGCTTTTTGCAAAAAGAGGGGGAAAAATGCCATCATTATAATATTCAAATCAGTAGAAGCAAGCCCTTCCATGGTCCTGTTTCTCACATGGAATAATCATATCAGTTGTGCTACCCTTCCACTGCTGTCATGCCACTACCTGGCTTCTTTCCTTCCCTACAGTCATGCTTCTCTAACCAGTTGTCCTTGCTGTCTCTCTTGCCTGAATAATTTTTCAGTCCACTCAAATTCTGGATTCTGTGCCCTCACTCAGTTACAATGACTAAGGTGCCTAAACCCAGTCATATTTTAGTGCCTACCTTCCCTGTCCGCAGTAGCTTATACTGTCAGCTATTGACCACACCACTGAAACGTTCATCCCTTGACACTCTGCTTCTGATTCATTTTTTCTGACTTAGCTGTTTTATAGTTTTCTTGATATAGGTTGGCTCTAAATTCTCTTAACAATTTAGTTATTGAAATTCCTTTGAATGCTCAGAATCTTAGGTGAAAGAAATCAGTAATATAATTAGTTAAGACAAAACATATTTAAAGACAGTTACAGCTAAGACTTAAGTGCAAAAAATACTGCAGTAATAGTAATGTATCTTGTAATATTTTTCAAAAGTCCTGGGTCCTTGCATATATTTCATGATACTGTTTTAGACCAAGGGACAGCAGTTACCATACTAAGAGATCAGCCCATTAGTCATCACTTCATAAGTGTTTCTGGAAGTCTTTTGGAGAGTTTATGAACTATTTGAAAATGGGGGTTTTCAGAAGATAGATTGAAGAAGTAGAATTACAGAAAATAATAGTTTATTGAATTCTAAATTGTGAGGTACATGGTTTAAGAATTAACAGTCTAATGCTAGATGTAGTGGTTCACTCTTAAAATCCTAGCACTTGGAAGGTGGAGGCTGGAGGATCCAGATTTTAAGGTCATTCTCAGCTACATAGCAACTTCAAGGCCATCCTAGGTTACATGAGAGCTAACTGGTTATAGTTTAGTCTGATAACTTTCTTCCCTCTGCCTTTCTCCTGCTAGCTCTGAATATGCTGCCAAAATGAAGGCAGAACTTGGGACTATGATTTTTTAAATATATTTTATTATTTATTTTATGTGTATGAGTGTATTGTCTGCATATATGTGAGTGTATTATGTCATGCAGTGCCATGGAGATCAGAAGAGGTCATCAGATTCCCCTGGAACTGGAGTTAAAGGACAGTTCATAGCTGCCATGTGGGTGCTGGGATTCGAACCCGGGTCTGCTGCAAGAACAACTAGTGTTCTTAATCACTGAGCCATTTCTCTAACCCCATAGTTTTCTGATAACTTTCTTCCCTCTGCCTTTCTCCTGCTAGCTCTGAATATGCTGCCAAAATGAAGGCAGAACTTGGGACTATGATTTTTTAAATATATTATTTATTTTATGTGTATGAGTGTATTGTCTGCATATATGTGAGTGTATTATGTCATGCAGTGCCATGGAGATCAGAAGAGGTCATCAGATTCCCCTGGAACTGGAGTTAAAGGACAGTTCATAGCCACCATGTGGGTGCTGAGAATCAAACCTTGGGTCCTTTGCAAGAACAGTCGGTGCCCTTAACCGCTGAGCCATCTCTTCAGCCCCAGGACTATGCTTTTTGAGATTATAGGCATGTGCTGTAATGATCGGCTGGACAGGACTCTAACTCAGCCTTTTCTTATGGAAGTAGTGCATTACTCAGTAAATTGTGCTTGATAATAGTTCCCAACTGCTAGAGCTTGTCAGCCCCTTTAAATCTAGCCCTGTTTCTTAAACAGTACTTCATCTTTTTTTAAAAAAAAGGTGGGAGAGGACAAAATAATTGTTTTCCAAGTTAGATTCTTTGCCAAGGACATGTCAAATGAGTTGTAGAATGACTATCAGTTATATTGGTAGCTTCTAATAAATTTGATTAAGTAACTTTTTGATGATATACACTGTTTAATTACTGATTTCCATTATTTTGTTCATGTCACCCAGATTGGCTATGTAGTCATCAAGGAAGACCTTGAACTTCTGATCCCCTTGCATTCACTGCCAAACTGCTAGAATTACAGGCATGTGCCACCACATCCAGTATATGGAGTGCTGGGGCTCAAACCCAGGCCTTCATATATACTAGGTGAGCACTCATCAACTGAGCTACATCTTCAACCTTCAAATTCTTCAGAGTGACTATACTAGTTTTCATATCATGTCTTAGACTTGTTCTACTTTCATGAATCTATCTCCCTGAATTGTGGGCACTCTAGATGTGCCAGTTAGTAATACTGGCTTTTTATTACTTAAAGTCCCGTAGTACTTTAACATGGTATTCGACCATTCAAAGATCAGGTCTTTAAGAGCCAGTTAAAGTTTTTATTGGTTTGTGCAAGACCTTATGGATTTCCCTCTTCCCCTCTTCTCATAAGATGGTTTTGGGGTTAGATGAAGAAGGTAAACATAATCTTGTAGAACATAAGAAGACTTTAAAATGAACATAGGTCCTTAGACCATCCATCTACTCCATAGAGGATGGCCCCTGGTCTCCAGGCTGCCATCTGTCCTGCTTATACCCAAGTCTGTAACTGACTGAGGTAGCTACTTGCCCATCCTGTTGACAAGGTCTGAACTAAGCCTCAATGGCTGCACATTGCACATGTAGTATTGTAGGCAGGATTTGCCATTTAGTAGAGTCATCTTTACTTGTATGAGGAAATTGGCACACTGAGATATTTGTTTTTCTTCTCAGAAAACTCTTGGGAATACGAAAGGAGAAACTAATTCCTTTTGTGTTTTTCTTTTAAATTCTACAGAGTGGCAACATACATGTTTAACATTGGGTTCTGTACAAAAAAGAAAAAATTTAATATATTCCTTGCCAACAAGTGGTGGAAAAACTCTTGTGGCTGAGATTTTAATGCTACAAGAACTACTTTGCCGAAAGAAAGATGTTTTAATGATCCTTCCATATGTGGCAATTGTCCAAGAAAAGGTGTGTGTTTTTTAAAAAAAATTTCATATTTTCTAATATACTGTTAAGGTTTAAAAATTAGCATAAATAGCTGTTAACTGTGATTCATGATAATTATTTTTAGAATATACAAAAGTAAGCTAGAGTACTTACATAAAATCTCTTCAAGTAATTAACCTATTAATAGTTTTAAATTAATGGTTTGAACTGTATCTTAAATGGTCTATTAATAGTAGGCCTGCTTTTTCAAGCTCCAATTAATTAATTACTTTAAATAAATGAGTCAATTTGATTTTTTTTTTTTCTGTTTTTTTGAGACAGGGTCTCCCTGTAGCCCCAGCTGTCCTAGAACTCACTATGTACACCAGGCTGGCCTTGAACTCATAGAGATCCGTCTGCCTCTGCTTCCCAAGTGCTGGGACTAAAGGTGTGTACCACCACACCTGGCTCAATTTGATTTTTTTATTAAATATTTTTCAATTATGTTTATGTATAGGTATGTGCATTTGAGTACAACTGCTCATGAAGGCCAAAGGCATCAAATCTCCTTGGAGCTGGAGTTACTGGCAGTTGTGACCTGCCCGGTATGGGTATTGGGAACCAAACTAGGATCCTCTGTAAGAGCAGTATGTGCTGTTAACCTCTGAGTCATCTTTAGCCTCTCAATCTGATGGTTTTTTTTTTTCAGTCAAAGAGAGTTGAAACTTATTTTTGTGTTTATTATGTAGTTGAAAAGTTGCATTCACTTGTTTTGCAAAAATCAACACCTTTCCTCTACAGTATTTCTTAGATATAGATGCCTAATCTGTACTCTGATCCCATTGTTTGGGACTTTACCTTTTCTTTTTTTTTTTTTTAATTTTTTTTTTAAATTTTATGTGTATGCATATATTGCCTGCATGTAAGTAAGTGCACCCGTGTTGTGTCGTGCAATGCCCGCAGAGGACAGACGAGGCTGTCGGATCCTCTGGGACTGGAGTTACAGACAGTTGTTAGCTGCCATGTGGGTGCTGGGATTTAAACCCGGGTCTTCTGCAAGAACAACCAGTGTTCTTAGCCGCTGAGCCATCTCTCCAGCCCCCAACTTTACCTTTTTAAGAGAATTCTTCTTGAACTCTTAGTAACTAGACTTTTAATTTGTGTTTTTGTTAAACATTCTAGATTTCAGGTTTATCAAGTTTTGGTATAGAACTCGGTTTCTTTGTTGAAGAATATGCTGGAAGCAAAGGAAAATTTCCTCCAACTAAAAGAAGAGAAAAGAAATCACTATATATTGCCACTATTGAAAAAGGGCACAGCCTGGTGAACTCCTTGATTGAAAGTGGAAGGATTAGTACTTTGGGTCTGATTGTGGTAGATGAGGTTGGTGACATTTGTAACTTAACATATTTGTACTGATATATTGCACTCATTTTTCTAATTATTATATGGCTTCTCTTATAACCTCTATAATGTAACTCTTATTTTTATTTTTGTTTAATATTTTATTCATTTTTATTTTTGTGTGTATGATTGTATTGCCTGCACATATGTAAGTGTACCCATGTTGTGCAGTGTCTGCAGAGTACAGAAGAGGGTGTCAGATCCCTTGGAGTTGGATGGTTGTTAGCCATCATGTGGGTACTGGGAATCAAACTGGGGTCCTCTGCAAGAGCAGCCAGTTCACTTAACTGCTGACTCATCTGTCTAATCCCCTAATTTATTTTTATATACAGACAATACAAGTAAAGACATCCTATGTCTGGTGACCTTAAATTTATGTCAAGCATTTCTTGAAACATGAATATGTGTATCTATGTAGACAATTTTATAGTGGTACTTAACAAATATCAAATATTGGTGATACTGCCAAATTTCATTAACCTAAAACATCAGTTGAATAATACATATGTACTATAATTCCAATATCTAGTATGCATTTATTCTGTATAAAATAGTGATGTTTTATATGAACATTATATGAACATTTACTTTTTATCCCACCCCTGCATTTAAATCTCAAAGTTGCACATGATTGGCGAAGGGAGTCGTGGTGCTGTCCTGGAGATGACCTTGTCAAAAGTCCTCTACACTAGCAGTAAGTATTGATTTATTATCAAGAGATCTATATGTAAGAGACTTACTTCTGTCACTAGATTGTGTAACCTAGAGCAAGACACTTAAGGCTCCTGCCAGTAGTTTTAATTTTCTAAAGTAAGCTTATGAATTTTTGATGAAAGAACAGATGTATGAAACCAGGCATTATGGGGCATGCCTTTAGCCCTAACACTTGGGCGGCAGAGACAGGTAGATCTCTGTAAAATCGAGGCCACTCTGGTCTACATAGTGAGTTCCAGGCCAGCTGTGGCTACAGGGAAACCCTGTCTCAGAAAAAAAAAAAAAGGATGCGTGAGAATTGTGAAGATATTTGAGGCAGTCTTTAGACTCCACTGTCTACCAGCAAGTGCTTCATCTCATCACCTAGCCTCTGTAGTTAGCTGTAAAATGGAGAGAGTAATGGTGTAGGTGATTGTGAGGATGACATGAGTCAACATGACTCCCTCTCCAAAACTAGCACTTGATAAGGTTTACTGCTGCCATCATCCTCATCACCATCACTATCATCTTCCCATAAAACAGTATCTTTAAGTAGTCACTTTAAAGAGCTATTATGCAAGACCTCAGTAGACTGCCTGAGAGTGCCTGGATCTGGCCTCCCCATGATGGTGAGCCTCCCCTGCAATGGGACCATGTGAAGGCCCTCCCACTTTGCCAGGGCTAGACTGCTCGGCCCTGCAGTAGGGGCTGAGACCTCAGCAGACTGAGTGCCTGAATCTGGCCTCCCCTTAGTGAACTTCCCAAATTGTCCTGTGAGAGCACACTACTAGGGAAGGAAGGAAGCCTGAGTGTACCTGACTGGAGCCTGACTTGGGCCTCAGTGGGAGCTCCTAAGTAGCTAATCTGAAGCAATCAGTTCCCTCCAATATAAAATCTGAGAGAACCCGAAACCTAGACCAACCAGCTTTACATACCCAATAAGAAAACAAGGCACAACAAAAATACAAACAGAAGCAGACTTCAATTCAGCAAAGGAAGGCTTGAGTTTCATATGAGAATCACAAACAACAAAAGAAATCCACATACCAAAATCACAATGGAAAAATTATATGGAAAACCAAAACTTCACCAGTCCTATAGAAGAGTTCTAGAAGGAGAGCCCCCTAGAGATAACCCAGGACACAAAATTTAAAAGAAAAAATCATAAACATGATCAAGGAATTTAATGACTTTAAAGAACATACAAACAAATCAAAGCACTAAAAGAAAACAGGGATAAAGAAGACAAAAGTAAATAATAAATAAATAAATAAGTAGAAAATACAACATGAAGCACATAGAACACCAAATAGACAGGACCAGAAAAGAAACTCCCCATGGCAAATCATAGTAAAAACACTTTAGTACAGAACAAAGAGAAAATACTGAAAGCTGCAAAAGAAAAGTGACATATAAAGGAAAACCCATCAGAATTACAGCTGACTTATCAGTGCAAACTATGAAAGTCAGAAGAGCCTGGACCAAAGTGTTTCTAGTTCTAAATGACCATGGATGCCAACCCAGATTACTTTACCTAGCAAAAATGTCTATTGCAGTTGGAGAAAGAAAACCCTTCCCCAATATAAATAGGCTGAAAGAATTCATGTCTACAAAACCAGCCCTTCAAAAAGTACTTGAAGCAATACAAAGAATGGAACAACTATACCCCAAGGGTAACAGAAAGTAAATGAAGATATAATTTTGGAAACAAAATATTAGACAAATAAATGCAAACAGTAATCAAAATGGTGGCAACCAATACACTTCTTTCAATAATAATTTTAAGTATCAATGGACTGAACTCCCCAGTCAAAAGATACAGGCTAGTTGATGGATTAAGAAACAAAATCCATCCTTTTGTTGTCTGCAAGAAAACCATCTCACCTTCAAGGACAGGCACTACCTTAAGGTGAAAGGATGGGAAAGAATAATTCAAGCAAATACACTGAGTAACAAGCAGGGATTGCAATTTTAATATCTGACAAAATAGACTTCAAACTAAAACTAATCAGGAGAGAGAAAGAGGGTCACTTTATTCTGATCAAAGGAAAAAATTAACCAAGAAGATACTAGAATCATGAACATATATGCACCAAACTCTGATGCACTCAAATTTATGAAAACAGCACTTCAAGGACTTTAAGACAAAGGGGACTTCAGTAGTGTCTCCATTAGACAGGTCAACCAGACAAAGGATAAACAGACAGACATCTGAAATAAATGATCCCATTCATCAAATGGACCTAACAGCCATCTACCAAATATTCCACCCAAGCACCAAAGACCACACTTTTTATTAAGCACCCCATGGACCTTTCTCAAAAATTTACCACGTACTGGGGCACAAAACAAACTTCAACAAGTGCAAAAAAAATTGAAATAATTCCATGTATTCTATCAGACCACAATGCAATAAAGCTTAAAATCAACACCAGAAGAAGCCCTAGTCACTAGATGAACTCATGGAGATTAAACAACACACTCCTAAATGATGAGTGAGTGAAAAGAGAAATTAAGAAAAAAATAAAAAGCATTCCTGGAATTAAAAGGACAATATAAGCTGGGCGTGGTGGCACATGCCTTTAATTATAGCACTTGGGAGGCAGAGGCAAGTGGATCTCTGTGAGTTTGAGGCCAGCCTGGTCTACATAGTGAGTTCCAGGACAGCTGGGGCTACAGGGAGACCCTGTCTCAAAAATAGACAAAAAAATAAATAAATAACAAAATACAACCTCTGGGAAACTTTAAAAGCAGTCCTGAGAGGGAAGTTTATAGCTCTAAGTGCCTTCATTAAAACATCAGAGGGGCTGGAAAGGTGGCTCAGTAGTTAAGAACACTGACTATTCTTGCAGAAGACCTGGATTCAAATCCCAGCACCCACGTGGCAGCTAACAACTTTCGGTAACTCCAGATCCAGGGGATCCAACAGCCTCTTCTGTCCTCCGCAGGCATTGCACGACACAGGTGCATTTACTTACATGCAGGCGTAGCAATCATACACATAAAATAAAAATAATAATTTTTTTAAACCAAAAAGAATACAAATAAATGACTTAACATTGTAACCCAAGACTCTGGAAAGGCAAGAACAAATGAAACCCAAGCCCAGCACACGAGAAGAAATAAAAATCAGAGCACAAATTAATAAAATAGAAATAATACAAAGAATGAATCTAAGAGCTAGTTCTTTGAAAAGCTAAACAGGATAGACCCTTAGCCCAGTTAACCAAAAGATAGAGCAAATCCCAACTCAACAAAATCAGAGATGAAAGGGGAAACATCACAACAGACACCCAAAAGATCCAGAACATTATAAGGGAATACTTTAAAAACCTACACTCTATTAAATTTGAAAACCAAAAAGAAACATGTGGATATCTAAAACGGGAACCACCAAAGCTAAACCAAGAACCCAGGCTCAGATGGATTTACAGCAGAATTCTACCAGATAGTTAAAGAAGATCTGCAACCAATACTACTTAAATTGTTCAAAAGGATAGAAGCAAAGGGAGAACTCCCAAATTTCTTCTATGAAGCTAGCATCACTTTTATACCCAAACCAGGTAAAGACACATCCAAAAAAAGAAAACTATAGACCCATATCCTTAATGAACATAGGTGCAAAAATTCTCAACAAAATATTTGTAAACCACATAGAGACTCACATCAGAAATATCACCATGATCAAATAGGTTTTATTCTAGAGATGCAGGGAAAACCACATTGTCATCACAATAGATGCAGAAAATGCCTTTGACAAAATTCAGCATGCAGGGCTAGAGAGATGGCTCAGTGGTAAGAACACTGGTTGTTCTTGCAGAAGACCCAGGTTCAAATCCCAGCACCCACATGGCACCTAACAACTGCCCATAACTCCAGCCCAAGCGGATCCAACAGCCTTTCTGACCTCCTCAGGCATTGCACAATACAGGTGCACTTACCTACAAGCAGGCAAAACACACACATAAAAATTTTTTAAATTAAATTTTTAAAAAATCAGCATGTATTCATGATAAATGTCCTAATGGGAATTTTACTGGAAGGAACATACCTCAACATTATTAAAGCTATATCATCATTTTAAATGAAAAACAAAACAAAAAACTAAGTCCCATTAAAATCAGGAGCTAGAGAAGATGTCCACTATCTCCACTCCACTTCAGTATAGTGCTTGAAACTCTTGCTAGAGCAATAAGACAAGAGAAGGAAATTAAAGGAGTACTAATTGGAAAGGAAGTGGTCAAACTTTCCCTTTTTGCAAATGATATAATACTATATATAAGAGATCCCAAAAATTCCACCAGAAAACCAGAACTGATGGACACCTTCAGTAATGTGGCAGGTTACAAAATTAATTTGCAAAATTCAGTAGCCTTTCTATATACCAGTAACAGGCAACTGGAGTAATAGTACAAGGAAACCCTCCCATTCACAGTAGCCTCAGAACAAATTAAAATATCTCAGAATAAACCTGACCAAAGACATTGAGAATCTCTACAATCAACATTTTAAATCTTTACAGAAAGAGATTGAGGAGGACACCAGAAGATGGAAGGACCTCCCATGCTCATGGATTGGAAGAATTAATATTGTGAAAATGACCTCCTACCAAAAGTAATATATAGATTCAATGCAGTCCCAATCAAAATCCCCATGACATACTTCACAGAATTAGAAAAAAAAATCCTTTAAATTCATATGGAAGCACAAAAGACCCTGGATAGTCAAAGCAGCCCTGAGCACAAAGTTTACATGCTAGGGGATTACATTACCAGATCTCAAAGTATACTACAGAACTATAGTCATAAAAACAGTGTAGTACTAGCACAAAAATAGACACATAGATCAATGGAACATCATTGAAGATCCAAACCCGAGTACATGGAATTTCAGCCACCTGAAACATAATGGAGGAAAGACAGCATGTTCAACAAATGGTGCTGGCAAAACTGGATCTCCACCTGTAGAAGAATGAAACTAGATCCTTATATTTCACCTTGC